TTTTGACCAATTGCTTCGGGTGTGTAATCAGCGTGGCCTGTCCAATCTGTCCTGCCTTGGTCCTGCCCTGATAGTGCGGCCGTTGGAATCCTTTGTGATAGCGACGGTTTCTTTTATGCTTTGAGTTTGTAGGTGAGGTTTTTGATCCGGATGGCCGAGTTTTTCCCTTGCACCCGTTGTTGTATGAGTAACTTAAGTAGATCTGGAGTATCCATGCCCCACTGATGGTTTGTCAATAGCTTGACGAACCGGGGAGGGTGTTCGCTNCTCCCAAGTACGGACATACCAACAGACACATCCGAGGCAAACACGGTGCATCTCGTTGTCGCCAAGCGGTTCATGCACACCGCACAGTCCATGAAGGTAGCCTCCGCAGACACGGCATGGGTGGTTCGTAAACAGCGTGAAGCCGGGTGTGTGGTCCGGCGTTGCCAGGCAGCGGGAACCCGCGGCGCAAGGCATCCGTGGGAGCTGTGTCTCGCTAGCTATGATGTCCTACTGCTGTACAGCTGCTTGAGCTGCTGCAGTGGGGGGAAGCTGGTGGGCTATAGGGGGTGGGGGGTGGGGGGGCAGGTTCGGTTTAAGGAGAGGTTAAGAGATTCGCGGTTCGGTTTAAGCGAGGGGTGTGTCTTGCAATTTTGACCTCTTTTAAATCGGCAATTCTCTTTAACTGAGCTCTCTTGAACCGTAGCCCCCACTGTAGTCAGAAAACATACAGCGGTAACATGTGGCACTAGGGTAGAGGCGGTGAGGATATATTTCAGAACGTCCTGTCGGGATTGTCGCACCGGGGTCTACGGTACGCATTAAACAAGCGATCACCAGTATACTATATTTCACTTCTATTTCCCTCCGTGAGAGTGATGACACTCCTGTCATGCAAGAACGAGATGACATTCGAGGTCGTTCCCTGGAGCAATCGCTCGGCCTCGTCGGGTTTTCAAACTGCGCAACCGTTAAGCCGACGGGGCGTGTAACTCTCATCTATCTTGCCCATTTGCGCACCACAGTTGAACCGCGGCATATCGCAGAAGTTCCCGTTTCCGCCATGTCTCTCGGTGGGTCCGTCTGGTCACAGTGCATCGTAGCTACGCTCGCACCGCAGGAGGAAGGTGGGGCATGAAAATCAATAACAAGATAAAAGCCCTGTTGTTTCCCCCCTCCTGTGTGACCCTGGATGGTTGTAGTTGTACCAAAATATACACTGAAAAGTGTTGTACTCTACATACGCTGAAAGAGTGTAGTACACATTTCACCACGAAAAATGGGGGGACTGTCGCCGTAGTAAATAGGACGAAAACACACACACCCCCAACTTCAGTCATAGGTTGCGTCCGACTTGAAATTGAAGGGGCCCGTTGCCATCACTACACTACAGTAGCCATACTTACTGCTGTATGTGTATACTGATGAACCGTCTCTTCCACGTCTTTAGGTGTGCGCCGATGATTGGCAAACGAACCTAGCGCGACGACACGCGCAAGTAAGAGTCACGTTTCCAGAGCTATCCGACGAGCAAAAAGGGTGGGTGGGGCCGCGTGCAAAGCCGAGCGTAGACTACGTGCTGTGGCCGACACAGAACGCGAACCGAGAGGAGGGAAGCTCCCGTAAGAGATGCCGGCGAAACGGCCAAGACTTGGTACCCGTGGGATTGAATCATAACTGCGAGTTTTGGGATAAGGTTAACCTGCGAGACCATCCCGATCGACACCTACTCCTGTCAAATCTACGAGACGACGTTACTTGTAGCGTCTTCGACTCTCTTACAGAAGAGTACCGCGGGCGTTCACGTCAGGAACCGTGTCGCCCGAAAACCGTTTCAGGGAGCAGTTTTCTCCAACCGCATCCCCGACGAGCATGCGGCATTTGTGAGACTCGAAGTGCAACCACGGGCTAAGCGCGGCTGTTTGGTTCGGTGGGCTGATGTTAAGGGTCCCAATGACCCAGATAGGGCACGGCTTGTGCTGTCTATCTCGGTCGAGTCCACCAAACCGCGCATGATCATTAACGGTATTCCCCTCAGCAATTAATTGTTCTAGACATACATGTGCCATTTACGATTGACACGATTTCACGCGTAGCGGTGGTGGCCCAAGAAGGTAATATCTATAGGCGAGTCAGGACGACCGCACGGGCTTCCATAACCTGAGCTTTCAGCCAGCGAGTTGGCCGCTTTTGGGCGTGCATTACGACGGCGTCGATCACGTGTGTACTATGTTGATAAAGCGGTAGCTTCTGGGGAAAAGTAGTTGAATTAAAGAGACCCTTGTCAGGAGAGACTGGTCAGAAAGTGGAGTGAGCACGGTGTGCAAGCCGTGTCCTCGATACCCTGCGAACTCCTGGAAACCAACGAACCAACGGACACGTTCCGGAACCGTTCCGGAGCACCAGCAACGTTCTACAGTATCTCAGTACCAGTCCTCGGACCATTGCGACTTCCTACACTCCACAAACTCTCGGGATGATTACCTGAACTAAGATACCATGCTCAGACTAGCGCAGCGTCCACAAGATTATTCCAACCACAAGGACCACGAACGTTCCTTATGTCGGTAGCTCAACAATCTACAGAGGATCGACATTGTTCCGCGTATTCAAATCGTCCAATCAGATATTCTACGCAACTCAGTCGATACATACTGCCTCTACCACGAACACCCTCCCTAGGGGCTGTTGTATCAACCAGACCAAGTACATCAAGTATCAAAGCAAAACAACAAAACAATTCAGACTCCTACTTCCTAGATCCCAATGCAAAGTCACGGTGAACTTCAAAAAGGTCTCTCGGTAGAGCCTTCGTGAGGATGTCCGCATGCTGCTCCTTACTTGGGACATGCGTGACCTCGATCACACCTTCCTCCGTCAAATTCCTAAGGAAGTGATGCCTCACGTCGATGTGCTTACTCCTACTCGAGCTCAGCGGGTTTTCTGCGAGCGCAATCGCTCCTTCGTTGTCCTCAAGGACGTCTATCTTACGCGGCTTCACACTCGGCCGCAGGAACTGAAGCATTCCATTTACAAACAGAGCCTCCTTCACACCATCACCCATCGCAAGGTACTCTGCCTCAGAAGTCGACTGCGAAACGCATTTCTGCGTCCTAGAAATCCAAACTACAAGCATAGCAGCCACAAAAACCATTGCTCCTGAAACTGACCTACGGTCTGTAGCCTTACTCGCGAAGTCCGCATCTACGTACACCAACGTGCCTACGTCTACCGAACTATCACGCTTGAACTTCAAAGTCAGATGTGCCGTTTCCAGAAGATAATTGAGGATCTTCTGGGCCGCCTTCCAGTGGCTCTTCTTTGGCTCGTGAGAGTGCCTCGCCACAGCCCGCACAGCGTTAGAGATGTCGGCTCGCGTCTGGCTGGCGATCCACATCAGGCTTCCAACCACCTCACGGAACGGCACATCTCCTGCCCCCTCCTCCTCCATCAAGGACCTGTCATCGTTGTTAAGGGAAGCAGGGATTGAACTAGTGCGAACAATGTTGAACCTCTCAAGGACACTCCTGATGTAGCTCTCCTGAGAAATCTCGATCGTACCAGCCTTGCGGTCGCGAATGTATTCGCAACCAAGAAAGAACTTGACCTCGCCCAAGTTCTTCGTCGGAAGAGAGTCACCAAGCGCTGCCACTACAACCTCAGCCAGACTCTTCGTTCCTGCATACAGAATGTCATCCACATGAATCGCGACCATCCCCACCACCTCGTCTCCCATCATGAAACGCAGGACACAGGGGTCAGACATAGACTGCTCGAAACCAATCCTCTTCAGCTCCGACACTAGCCTCTTGTAGAATGTTCTAGAAGCCTGCTTCAATCCGTACAAACTCTTGTTCAAACGGACAACTTTTTCCGACATTGAACCACAGCCAGGAGGCATCTTCATGAACACCTCATGATCCAATTCCGACTGAACAAACGCCTGCTCAATATCCCAGTGGAGTAATTCCAAGTTGTACTTGCACGCCAACGCTACTACCAATCTAAAAGATGCAGCATTTGCAGTAGGCGAGAAAGTCTCAAGATAGTCCACACCGTACTTCTGCTTGAAGCCCTTCGCTACAAGCCTAGCCTTGGCCTTCACTATCTTTCCTGTTTCGTCCGCTTTCCATTTGAAGACCCATCTAGCATCGATCACATTACAGCCTATCGGGACTTTTACTGCCAATGTGAACGTTCCTGCTCTCATCAAGCCTTCTACTTCAGCGGACCTGGCTCCCTCCCAAATCTTAGCATATTTCGAACGCTGGGCTTCCTCATAGCTACCAGGCTCTGACTCAACATCCTGTACCAGTTCTTTTGGCAATTCCGTCTCATCACCTGCTCTCTGCTCCGACAAAAGTGCATACAATACCTCTGTGCCGGAGATGGGTCCTATGGTGGCCATGAGGCCAGGAACACTCTGCTGATTAACTGCACGAGTTTGCGCGCGAGTCCTGCCTTCTCGTACTTCATCATTTTCACGCGCAGCTGTGTTGAAATCGGCAAGTTCAGCTACGTGTCTCGGACGACGACCGGTCGGAGGGGACGCCTCCGTTTCTACTGGTCTTCCCGACCCATTCAACTCTTCCTCGTCCTGCCCTCCCTGCCCCATCGACTCTACCTCATCATCCCCTCCCGGATCCCCCGTCTCTATTTCCCCTGAATTCACATCTATCTCAGGCACAGGCGAAGACACAGAGGGATTTGCGGGTGAGGACGGTTCGGAGGGGGAACTTGGGACAGAAGGGGACGGGTCTGCACTGCCTGCTTCAACACTCTCAACCTCGACAACTTCAGTACCAGGGGGCACGGCTTCACGTTTCAAAAGTGTGTGGGCAACTCCTCTTCCAACAAGCGGCCATACCTCGTCTTCTACATCGTCGTCACTATCCTCCCCTCCCTCCTCTGCTACCTCTATCGGCAAAGACGGTTGCAGTGGAGGGAGCTGCGACGGCAATACCTCCCATGTCACATCCCTCGTTTCTTGAATAGTCCCAGCCCTTGTAAGTACTCTATGGCAATCACGCGGGTGGTCTCTCGAAGGACCGACATAAAAACAACTCTCACCCTTCGGCAACAGCTTTGAAGGTCGCTGCCACCTGCAATACGCAGGTTTCAAAAACGGATATGGTCTTGCGGGACGAGGTTCTCCATACCACATTTCATACGGTGATTTAGAGTCGGGGTTGGCAGAGCACGCAGTGTGATTCATTGCTTCGCAAGCCCAGTGCATTGCCTCAGCCCAGAGTTTATCAGTTTTAGGTAACTGCACATGCCCAAAAAGAACTTTAGCCTGAATACGAGCCGCCATCGCGGCCTCTTCTATTAATCCCAATCCACGTTCTGCAACACCATTATATTGCGGACTGTAAGCCGGTGTGAACTCTTGTTTGATCAAAAGCTCGTTGCACACAGATGCAAATTCCCCTCCGAAAAACTCCCCTCCATTGTCAGATCTAACAATCTCAACCAGCGATGGGACACCATCAGCACGTACACTTGCAAGAAAACTCCGAAAAGCCATCCCGGCGTCTGATTTGTGTTTCAGGAAATACATCCATGCACGCCTCGTGAAATCATCTTTCACTATCATGGGGTAATGCTTCCCCCCTACGGACGCAACGTCCTTCCTCCCTCCCAGGTCAACAAAAACTCTGCCCAACTTTTTGTCGGATCTACTTTTAGTTTCTCGAGCGATTCCTTTCTTCACAGCCTTAGCCATCGAACACCCCGTACACTCATGCATCTCACCGACCAACTCTGTGCCTAGACGTTTTGCAGTAGTACGAAGCAAGCCCTTGTGCGAATGAGCGTAAATGTTGTGGAACTCGTTCACATCCATCGTGGTTTTATGCTTGGGGTTTGATGGAGTGAGGGCTGCAAGCACAGTGCCAACAGAAGCTTCTCCTAGACGATATGCAGACGCAATCAGCATGCCATCGAAGTTTTGGAAGGTTACTTGTCCTTTAAAAGCAGTCATCACACCGTCAGGACCACCAAGACCATTCCATGGTTCGCCATCAAACTCTGCACTTGGAGAAAAGAGAATATACCCCAAGTTGGGAGAGTACAGCACATTCTTCAACTCCACGGAAAATTCACTGTCAGCAGTCACAAACACCAACTCCAGCGTTCCAGAGAAAGATATTTCACACG